TTATTGAGTGGATCGCTCGAGGCGTAGTGGTTCACGATAGAATCGCAAGGCCAGAAGACTCTCATCCAGTAGATTTCTCGAGGCGTAGAAACCTACCAAACATATTTGCTGCTGGCCCATTGGTGTCAGATACACATTCTACCCCTTTACTCTTTTGTCTATGGAATTAACGTTTTTCTACAGGTATCGGTGTATACAGAATGGTTTAGGATCGCAGAAAGACATAAATCATTCTTTGTCCCAATTGACTACTTTGACTACCGTTTTCGAAATTGACGTTTCTATGAACTCAGTCAAAGTGGGGCCTTCTGTAGAAACCTAAAAATGTCTTCCCAAAACCAAACCCAATAATGAACAACCTTTCACCGCCATTATACGGCGGGTCGAGTATATAATCTCGGGAGTGCTTGAAACCCATGTTAAGTCAAACATATTCAATCTACAAATCAATCCAAGCATTTATTCAAACTCAGTCCAACTCACATTTCAGCCCAAACCCTTTTTTCATTGTATGTTATTTATTAATTTAGCCTGGTTAATAAATAATAAGTCTAAATAAGCCCGAAACTCTGAAAAGGCACCTAAAAATCACGTATTTCATGATTAAGAATTAGGGTGAAAATGAATCTGGACGGATTTAGGGCAGAAAAGGACACCGTGTCACGACAGACATATCGGGTGACGGTATTGTATACCGTGTCACGGCATCCTGCACCGTGTCACGGCATGGCATTTAGTTAGTGTTTTTCCGCAGGGCCTTATCATTTCTAGGGTTTCGTACATCACCCTGCTCATTTCCTATATAAATACGAGGCTAATTTCCTCAGTACAGTGGCACAAAAAATCATTCTCTTTCTCCCTACACCAACAATCATTCTCTTCTCTTTTTAGCCTAAATACTAGCCACCCTATTCTCTCATAATACTTCCCCTAAGCACTCCAAGGAGTCCATACTTGACCCGAAGTTCTATACTTAAACCAAGGCGTGAAAGGTAGAATTAACTAAGGGTTTGGACCAAATCAACTCTACTTTTTATTTAATTTAATTGTTTCAATTTGATTTATATTTTTATTGAAGTTACTAACAGTTTATTCATAATGTAGCAATTTAAGGAAACGCGGAACGTGAGTAAATTCACTTAATTACTCTTTTTATTATTCTTGTTGCTAGTATCATGATTAGGGTTATTATTATGCTTTGATTTGACTAACATTATTATTGATAAATTGCTTCCAACATTAACGTTTATTCTATTATATTTATTGATCATCGTATTGCATGTTTAAAGGGAATATGTAAGTGAATATCACGCCTAATAAGATAACTTGGACGACCGGTTTAGATTCCTTTATAATCTTGTTGTTAATTGAAGTAATCACGATATTATAGAATTATATGTTGCATTAACATTAAATCAATTTAGCTTAATATAAGTTTGGAGCAAATTGAATCTTTGTTTGCATGCCTTTGAGATTGCAGGAATCACTTTTCACTAAAAGAATCGAGTAGAGGCCAATACGGACGAATGTGACTCCATGACTCACTTCGTACCATCATCCCCGATCTTCCTTTCGTGGTTCCGAACCATATGGAGTTAGTAATCTCATGGATTATGAATGGGGTGTAACCTTCATGGTTCAATCGTTGTTTCCTTAAATTGTCCCTTAATCGTGGTTGCCTTTTACGATCCGTGAACGGTTTACAAGTTCCTTAAAAATTTGTTGGCGTCTCCCTACTTTGCTTTATCCCTAATCGTGTCCCTAATCGTATATATATGTCAATTCCCTACTTTTCTTTATCCCTAATCGTGTCCCTAATCGTATATATATGAGTGCCAAGCATATTCACAACATGCTTAACGTAGGCGCGCTTCAAACGACACCTACAACCTCCCTTTTTTTTATTATACAAAATGACCTTAGTTAATAATTTTATCCCCCTAATAACATTATTTCATTAAATAGTTAATTAAAATTAACAATGGTTAATTTTTTTAAAAAAAATAACACTTTAAAAAAATAACAACCACTAACCCATCCACCCACACCACCATCTCCACCAACCAGCCACCTTATCCTCCTTCCCTTTCACTGCTGGCGACCTACTGCCTGACAACCTCTAGACCGCCGAAATCGGAAAGATGACCACCCCCAGACCCCAGATCGCCGAACCCAAACCCCCAAACATCGAACAAAAACCCCACGACCACTTTATAACGTCAAACGCCCCAAACCCCGCCAGTTTCTGCCCCCTTCCCATCCCCCTCCCCTGCCACTAGCTGAATCGAAGCCACCCTCGCCCGAAACCCAAACCCAGTAACCCCCACCTGAACCGAAATCACTTTCAGATTTGGGTAGGTGGGATGGTTTCTGGTTGTTGTTGGCAGAGAGGAGACTTAGAGGAGATAGAAAGGGAGGGTTATGGGTTATAGTGGGAGAAGGAGCGGTGGTCTGGTTCTGGGTCTGAAGGTGGTGTCGGGTCTTGTTCTGGTGGGGGTTTTCGATATGGGGTAAGAATGAGGGTAGAGGTGGTGGTGGCGGCTTGTTGAAGGTGAAGGTTGCGGCGGCGACTAGTATCGTCGGTTGGTTGATGGTGAAGGGGGCAGTGCTGGCTGGTTGACGGTGAAAGAGGCGGCAGCGGCTGGGTGAAGGTGGCTTGTTGGTTTCTTTTTATTTGGTTTTTCTTTTTTTTAAGAAAAAATAAAAATAAAAATAAAAATCTAACCATAGTTTAATTTTTTAAATAATAAAACACTCATTAATGTCATATTTGAGATAAAATTCTTTAAAAAGGTCATTTTGTATAATTATTTTTCAAGAGGGTTACCATTGGTGCGTAGCAGAAGTTGGGGGTCACTATTGGGAATTTGCCATTATTTTTAATAATCCCTACTTTATACCCTATTAATGTGAAACAGACCCAAGTGACTTGAAACCGGTTAAACAGGTTAATATTTTGTGATTTGAGATTATTTGCACATGTGTCACTACGTGATTGGTCAAACTTTAAAAAAAAATATTAATCAAAAATTGAAAAAAAAAGTTAAATCAAATATTAAAAAACCACCACCACCTCAGCCACCACCATCCCCACCAACACTTAAATCTAGACCACGGAACCATCACCCTACCCCACCCAGACCCCAAAACCACCACCACTACCCCATCCTGACTCCAAAACCACCACATCCCACTCAAACCAAACCCAAAACCACCCACCTACCTAGATCTGAAATGGGACAGGTGAATGGGAAAGGGGCCTAAAACGGGGCGAGGAGAAGGGGAGGAGGGTCGGAAAATGGGCGGGGGAAGGGTAGGAGTGTCGAAAAACGGGTGGGGAAAGGGGATAGATGGCGGCTAAAAATGGGACAGGGAAGGGAAGGGTGCCGGTGGCAGCAGCCTCCCAGCGGTGGCAAGGGTGTATCGAAATAAACTTCGGATTTTAAATTTTTCATTTGTGGACACTATGAAAATATCAATTTTTTTTAAATGTTTTTAGTCACTCAACTACCTAAAATACGCCCATATCTTTTCTAAATATTTGTACCCCCATTCATATGTATGTACTTTTTTCATAACTTCTTATATATGTTTCACTCTTATTTCTCGTACTTTTCTCTCTTTTTTTTAATATACTTCATCCCATTTCTCAATTTCCATGAAATTTTTACAATGTCAAAAACAATATGGGACAAAGAGTATTAAGTTTAGTAGTTGTTGTTGGACTTAATTAGCCTTAGACGAGGAGTATTTATAGGGTGAAAACTCTGAAACAAAATACTACCTCCATTTATTATTATGTGCAATAGTTTCTAAAAACGGATGCTCCCTATTATGTACAACAAATGTTTTTAAATCCACTTTTAGTAAGTTTTTTTGTGTGAAAAGACCAACCTGCCCTCACTTAAACTACTTACCCCCTTAATCATTTCACTAACCATACTCTATTAAAATTGTAATGAAACTGATTAAAATTAATGATTCCCACCAAAATCAATCCCCTTTTTTATCAGATTCACTCACCTCCCCAACTACCAAATTGATTGAACATTCAATTCACTTCATCAAAATGCTTCCCCTAATTCAATTATGGACACTTCTCCAGATTAAATACCCAAGACACTCTTCTGCTTCTCCATTCTCTCTCCTCTTGCGATATGGGTTTTCATTGTAATACTTTCACCCAAAAACCCTAACCCTAATTATTCCTCCAAAATCATGAGATCCTCCAACAATGGCAGCGACGATTTGTACAGTTATGAGTCCCTGGATTCCGAATCTAACAATTGGAAGATAATTCACCCCGCGAAGAATTAGGGAATTAGGGAATTAGGGTTCTGAAACCAGTTCGTCGGGCGGCGATGACAACTATGAGGACGATTTGTAGTGCTAAATTGGTGAAGTATATTTCAAGTGATGACACTAGTAGAAAATATGAAATGCGGACCAGTTCAAAACCACCCTTAGCACTGGTTTTGAACTGTTTTTGAACTGGTTTAGATTTGAAGGATGCCAAAAAAAAAAAAAAAAACTTTAGCACCGGTTCAAAACTGGTGGCAATTCTTAGTTTTAGCACCGGTGAACTAGTGGTAAAAAACAGTGCCACATTTTGTTTTTGGTATTTAACAACAATTGGCACCGGTTCGAGTTCAAAACGGTGCCCTTAATGCCACAAAAAAATTAAAAAAAACAATTGGCACTAGTTCGGGGCCAAAACCGGTGCCCTTAATGCCCCAAAAAAGTAAAAAGAAGTTTTTTTTTATTTTTTTTTTTTTTTTTTTGCATTTTTTACACTTAAATTGATATATAAACACTAACATACATATAAAGTTACATATTTTCATTAAAAAAGGCTGTAATATTACAATTTTCGTCCAATAAAATAAAATAAAATATAAGGTTACACACAAATAAACGTTTTACAAGATTATTGTCTGAAAAAAATTTGAGCTTTGGGTGAGTGTAGACTGCACAACCCAATGAGGTTTTCCTGAATTTTATTTTTTTACCTCTTATTCAGCTTATCAACTTCAATTTTCTTTTGAGGGCTCAGACTGAGAAGAACAGTGAAGTCTACAAGTCCAGAAAGATCATCCAAGAAGTCACCCCTATAGTAGTGCAATACCTTGCTTGTCATCTCCTTCAGACTTTTGATGACAACCTCCTTTCTTTTCCAGTCTTCATCTTGCTAAAGGGTGTATTCAACAAGATCAAAGAAATTTCTCTCAACATTCCCTCCTTTCAATTTCTTTTTATGCCTAGGATGAGCAGAAATTTCAGTCATGGCCAAATCATGTCCAGGCAGCTTAATCCCATCAAGATGAAGTTAGTGTCATCATTCTCTTTATTAGAACGAGAATCAGACCTGTAACTTCTCACCCGAGCAGCCTGATGTAAAGAAAAGTTTAGATGAGTGTCATGAAAAGCAAATGGCATCAATTCATAAGTACAAGGCATAAGAACTTTTAGCAGAACACCAATCCAGACAACAGAAGCTAATATGACTATATTAATACTGACAGACACCACAGAGAGCTGTAAAATGTTTTAACATAAAATCAAAAAAGGAATTGATTAATTATCATAGATAAATTTCGTCTGACACAAGTATGTGTCCAGCCAGGTGTCAGGCTTTGCATTAGCATAAACTAAAAGTTTCAAAATAAGTGCTAGTGTTCAGCTTGTTGTGTTCTGCATTCTGCCTCCTGTTGTGCTGGGAAGAGAATTACCCCAAAGGAAGGAGTGTATGAGTAGAAGAATAATAAATTTACTACAGTGTCAGCTTTTAACAAAAATTACTACCAATAGATATAGAATTATAGAAAAGATGAGGGAAAAAAATACAAGAATATAAATAAAATGCACAAAATTGCACCAAAAAATATTATACTAATATATTTCCATAGCAATCAACAAAGTGCAATATTAGTTCCCACTGTACAAAAAATAGGCTATTTATATGCTGCTAGCAACTAACATATATACTAAGTCATAAACAATAGAGCTGAAATAGAGTACACCACTAAAACCACAACCCTTTACAGCTTTAAATGATAACTGTAACTATAACCGTCAAAGAATCATATACAATACTATGAGGGAGAGAGATTGGATAAGAGCCACCTTCTAGGAAGGGTTCCCTTGTACCAACCCTCAAGCCTCAAAGTTGAAAGTTAACTACATTGTCTGTCTATACATATATCTTTAATAATTCAATGAACAAACTCCCCTTCTTCCCGTTCTTCCTCTAAAAAGGCATCGTCAAAATCATAATTGACACTGTATTCTTCCTTTATATAAAAACCCAACTGCTCCGATGTTCCAATGTGGCTATGTGTGTGTGTGTGTGTAACACCCCGGTGTACATGTATTGTTATGAATCAATTATTCAATTACACAAAATGATGCAAACAAGAAAGTGAAAATTAAAGAGAACAAGTTCAAGAATTGAGTAATTTTGAAGCAAGCAAAAAAGCAAAGAAAAACTACAATGAAAAGGTGGCACTAGGCGAAAATTGCTAATCAGAATCGGTTCAAAACCCCCATTTCGCACTGGTTTTGAACCGGTTCTTATTTGAGGGATGTCAAATCCCAAGACTTTTCGCACCGGTTCTTGCTGTGAACCGATGTGAAAAAGTCCCCAAAAATATTTTAAAAAAAAACTTTTAGCACCGGTTCTTGCTGTGAACCGGTGCAAAAAGTGGCCAAAAAAAGTAAAAAAAAAAACTTTTAGCACCGCGTTTGTTCCAAAATCGGTGCTAAAAATGCCCCAAAAAATTAAAAAAAAAGTAATTTTTTTCATTTAAATTGATATAGAAACACTAACATATATATAAAGTTATTTATTTTCATTAAAAAATGATGTAATATTACAATTTTCGTCCAAAAAAATAAAATAAAAAACTAACAAATTCTGCATATGCATTGAAACTTAGGCATAACAAGACAACAAATTCTGTATAACTTAGGCTAATTTAATCGATCTTTTTTCATCCTCTTTGAAACAGCCCTATAACATTCCGTCCAATGAAAGCTTTTGCCTAGCTATGATTACACTCATTCCCTTATTCCCTTCAGGTACTCCAGGAAATCTATCTGCCAAGCAGTAGCACCCAGTCAACAACAGCCAACCAGCTTGCAGTAACCAGGCAACAGTAGCCATCCCAACACACACAAACACACACATGTAAGAAGTAGCACATTAACCAACAGTAGGTAGCATCATAGTAGCTACTAGACAACATAGTCACTTTATATATTCAAAAAAGCAATCAACGGTAATAAATATATATGGAAGGCCAAAAAGACCAAAAAAAAACCCAAAAAACAAATTGCAGAAAGCATATGGTAGGCAGCAGCCAAACAAGCTTCAATTCCACCCAAGAAGAGGAAAACATCAACAACGAGCCCCTAAGCCAAAGCAAACCAGCAAAAGGAAGCCAAGCAACATCAAAAGATGATGGCTTGAAGATTCCTGGTAGAGACACAGCAAAAGTCCTCAACTAAATTCATCACCAGGTAGTACTGCATCAATACTAAGACCATCATACCAACAGTAGGGTCCTACCTTTTTACATGGATTGCGTCTCAGAATATATAACCACTCCTAGTACATAGTTCTATTTTCCTTAACAGCATATTATCTATGTCAAAGTATCTTACACCTTTATTTGAAAGCATTACACTAGAGATAGACACTGCAAAAGTCCATTAAATATTCTGAAAGGTCTGTTGTTAAAATCAAAAGATCCAAGCAATGCTGATTTTGGGAATATGGTGTCTTTTAAAATTTCATAAAGTGCAGCAAGCGATAAAACACATAACCAGCAGGTCAGAATCTTAAGATAGTAAGAGCTGGGCTAAAACTATGAACTTGATACTTACACTGACAAACTCTTATGAGTAAACACACCGATTGTATTGTGCCCATTTGAACAATCCAAATCAACCTGTTAAATAGATAAAAAAAAAAATTAATTCATAAATAGCCACTTACCTAACCTGGGGAAAAGCAGTATAGATGACCAAAATTACAAGGGGATTGTAACAAATTAATCAAAGCACTACTTCAGTTGTACTATCTTTACTCTAGGAGAATCGTTAGAACTTAGAACTTTAGAAGTGATACTAGGAATAATTTGTATAACACTAATCAGTTTATAGCACCTTACCCTCATTGACACACGCTCCCCTGCAATACCATCAACTACACGAACTATAGGGTTAAACAACTCAACCAATTGTTGAACCTTTGTCCTGTCCCTTAAAAAATCCTGCATAATCCAGTCATATAAGCTCTTGGTTGTATAATTTGGTGTCTGGTTAACCAACTACAACAACCTACATGCACAGGGTTTTTTTTTTTTCCTTTTAATGGTCAATACCTACATGCTAGAATTTCAGTATCAATGGCCTTCAAAATTTATGCCCAAAAAATTAAATTAAATAAATCAGTCTAGTAATGAACCCTTTATGCTTTCTACTAAATTATCTGGTAAATACTATGTAAGGTCAGTTTCTATAGGTCTCTCTCTGTAAGACAATTTATAATTGCTTTTATTTAGAAAGCTTGTCCACTAGCCCAACAATAGAGCCATTTTCCACAGCAGCCAAAACTAGCAATAAAACCAGAAGAGAATAAATTATATCGGTGGTAAAAGATTTGTCATTATGGCCATTCCCCAGTTCCAAAAGAAGGGTGCAGTTCCGAATCTAGCACTAACAGTTGGTACTCCCAGAACTTCATGAGTACTTCTTACTTCTTGCAGATTCCTGGAGAAAATATACTATTTCTTATAAATTTGAGGGACATTCTCCAGTGAGACATAGATAAATGTTATACACTAGGATCATGGTTGGCAGCACAAAGCAAGCAAAAGTTTGATAAAGCCACTGAATAGATGTTTTAGTCATAAAAAGGGAAAGGAGGATTCACCCCTAAGCCTGCACGGATACAAATTGGTGTATTGCACTCATGAGGGTAAGCACAGAGTTCAATTTAGTTAATTAATAAGGAAGCACAATTACATACACTCAAGAATTGTAGCTGCATGACCTAGCATCTACTAAGTTTTGGACCTGGAGATAGATTATTTGAAGGCTCTATAACATTTCCAGGCCTATAAAATATTTAGAAAATGAAAATGTTTTATCACCAAACACATAGATCAAAGGTTCAAAATCAACCAAGCTCACATCTCATATATCCAGGTGACCAAAAACAATTGAATGAAATTCACAACAATCAATGAAGTGATCTAGCAAGAACTAAGCCTTAGTCTTAAAATAATTCTTGACAGGAAGTAGTAGCGAAAAAAAATTCACATTAGTAAGAATAGTAACTTATAGCAAAAATACATCCCTCTTATTGATCCCTTTTCCAAAATCAACATTTAGCATCCCACTATAAGGCTTTAGTTTGACCTTTTCACCTATATTCCCAACAAGACATCAAGAGATGAAAAGGTATATGATTGCTAGTGAACACGTTTAACAACGTGATGTAACAAAATAGAAGAAAGAAAACCTTTGTTGTAGGCAACAACCTCTTCTCCTAACAGTAAAAAACTTGTACACAATATTGTTGGACCAGCACCTCCAGTACTCGCTGTATAGTAAGAGAATCTGAAGATAACATGAAACAAAAAAATACCTAGTGAACTCACATTAGACTTCTTGCATAAAGGCATGCAAACTAACATAATCATATAAAAAGAGTATGGAACACATACCGTGCAAGAGATATGACAAGAGTTACATGAAATTTTACATCAAAAATATGAGCCATCAAATGTATTTAAGGTTGATCACAAAACACAACATCAAGACCTCAAGAACAGAAATGATCACCTTAGCCTTTCAGGTTCACCCTTGCCTTACTAGACCTCAAGAACAGTAATGATCACCTTAGCCCCACTAATCACTGAACTAAAATAAAATAACTAATTGAACAGATCTTAGACTCCTTTCTCTTAACATCCAAAGAAAAATTCAAGTAGGAATCCTTAATAAATTAATCTTAGACTGTAATAACAAACTACTCACCCTGGTCAGTAGTCGAGTGAGGCACAAGAAGCCTGTTTTTGTTTCCTTTCATGAGGTCTTTACAACGGGAATATAATCCGCCAACTCGGATTCAAATGTACTGCAAACACACAACAATTCACAGTGTGACTATCAAAAATTAGCCTTATCACAAAATAACCCAAACCAAAGGAACACTAAGCCACTAATAATCTCAGCAACTTAAGTAAGCAAACCTGTAAAAGTTCTCAGACCCGCCAATTGCGACCAAACAATATGCATTAGTCAACTTAGACAACACACCCACTTCACAATTGTTCTCAAATTGAAGCCCTACAAAATATCCATCATAAACACATTGAAGCAAACAAAAATTGACACTCAAATCCAATGCTTGAAAAAATTGACTAATTTATACAAATTTTAATCAGTATGAATATAGTGAAACTCAACTTGTTCATAGGCCAATTATAATGAATTAAACTAATTATTTATCAAAACAAACTCAGATTCATGGGCAAAGTTATTGAATAAAAAATAAAAAAAAGAAACAGTGAACCCAAAATAACGAGTCAAGTTCCAAAATCAAAGAACCCACAATACACAATCTACAGATTCTACACAGCCAAGGTTAGCAAAAACATTACTTAAAATTGGGGAAAAAATTGAGCAAAAAAACACAGATTAAAAAGTATAAATCAAAAACACAACGTAATACCACAAATTTCAACTAAATATATAACAAAATCAACAAAAAATACAACATAAAAGAATATAAAGATGAATTAAGCGAAAAAGAATTAGGGAAAAAATTGAGCGAAATAGAGACTTATATTAGGGTTTTGTAAGCTTTAACAGAAAAAAAAAAAAACCTTTCAAGCGCCTGTATCGGAAGCCGTTAAAGGTGACGGTGTCTTGGTCGGAAGCGTTGTAGGTTTCAGAATTTGGGGTTGAATCATAATTTGTAAATTCAGACAAACCCGATATTACCACAACCCTAAAATTACTAAATTGAAAAGAATATCAACGACAAACCCTAGATTGCGAAGGAATTCGATAGATTAAGAAGACCACAAGAAAAACCTTACCTCGAAGCTGCTTCAATGGAGGTGAGAAAGCTCAGAATCCACTTCAATGGAGAATAAAGAGAACGAGTTCAATGGAGGAGAGATATGGAGAGAGAAGGAGGTGCAGCTGCTTCAATGGAGTGAGAAAGCTCATAAACCACTTCAATGGAGAAGGTGAAAATTCGGAGGTGGTGGAAGAGAAGGCGAAAACGACCTGAGGGAAAACAGAAGATGGAAAAGCAGGGGAAAAGAAAGAAAGAAGAAGATATAACAGCCCGATTGTTTTTTTTTAATTTTAATTTCGCACCAGTTTGAACCGGTGCTAAAACACTATTTCGCACCAGTTTAAATTGAACCGGTGCGAAATCCCTTTCTCCCTTTTTTTTCTCTTTTATAATAGGAATTGGTGCGAAAAGTCTTTTCTCCAATCCCGCCCATTTCTTTTTTCACCGGTTTTCAAGAATCGGTGCGAAAAGTGCGGTGCCTAATTCATTTTTTCTACTAGTGTGGTGACAATCAAATGAGGATTTTGTAAGAGTCTATGTACATCGGAAGCATAATAAACGACATTATTTGTACTTGAAAATTCAACAACTCGTATTTGTTTCGATTTCAGCAGCTTAATAATCACCATATTACAACAACAATTGCAAGTAAAGAGTATAATGAATCACTTGGACTCGTGCTTATCAAGTAGGATAGTAATAAACAGAATACTCAGCAATGTAGAATTAAAAGAGTTAGGGGAACTTAGTAACTTAGTAATACAGGTGACAAATGAAGAAGAAATTATACTCCAATTGAAACATTAAACAATAAACTTTAAGGGGATGCCTTGAATGCCGGTAATAGGGGAGGAAAAGTTGATGAATAAAAATTCTGACATAATAATTCATGAATCCATCAGGGGTTTTTTTTTCATCCAAAAACTTCTCAAACTGTGTTACCTCAACTAATAAACCGAAGCAAATCACAGTGAGAAGTTGTACGATGAAAGTGAGTCCCTTCATCATATGGATTATCCTAGTGTAACTATTTACGGCTAAGGGACTCAACGCGTTATGATATCTATAACACACAGCATGTCCGCTCAAAGAGGTTCATTCGGCACATTAATAGTACACATGCTCATCATTCATAACAATAACAGTCCCCTTGCATGCAATAATCTAGCAACAATAATCCAGCCCGCCAGCAACGTATGCTGGTATACAACATGAATCGTTCATCCGCCACTTAAACATGCTTCTAAGTATAGAATTAAAATAAATTTAGAAAACTTAAATAACAGGGAGGTTAGTGTTTTAGAAATCTACCAACAAATGTCAGCAAGCAAGTTCATTTCAAACAGGGAGACTCAGTTGGAGCTTTTTTCAGGACCTTTTGTGAGCTAGCAACAATCTAACTCTAGCGATAATAGAGAGAGGTCGGAAGAAAGGGAGAGTGAACCTCACAATTGAACTACGATCACCACCCTACAGCATCGAAACCACCCACCCCTACCCACCACCACTAACACCACCTTACAACACCGAAACCACCCACTCCTACCACCCAGCAACACCGAAAAACCCAGCAACCACGAAACCACCACCACACAAAGAAGAAACATAAGCAGTAGCAGGAACACTTTACCCATAATAAAACACAGCAACACGCAGCACCCAACACACACTAAGGCACCATGAGACACAACACCCAGAAACCTACCTTCACTACAACCTGCCGCAACCCCAACACCTAACGCATACACCTCCAAGACCAGCAGCAATTTTGAACAATTCATAAATTAAATCCAAAAAAATCAAGGCATTTAACATGAATAATTGGACCAAAATGCAAAGCTAAAGAACCCAGAAACCCTAACCTCGAATTTGTGATTTTTGAATCGATAATTTATTCGAGTTTTTTGTTGTTGTATTTGGTTCAAATTGACGGCGGTGGTGATGGTGGTTGTGCTTGGTTCTAATGACGCCGATTTCGAACTGAGAAGGAGAACGAGAGCGGCGTTTCTTGCTCTGTAGTTATGGAGAAGGAGATCGAAGAAGAGATAAAAGGAAAGGGAAAGCGGCGGTTATGGAGAAGGAGATCGAAGGAGAAAGAAGGAGTTTGAGGAAAGAGCCTCCATTGTTGCAAATGAGAGAGAGGCAGATGAGAAAGGATGAGAGATTGAGGAAAGAGAAAGAAAGAAGACAAAAAGAAAAAGAAAGAAGATAAAAGGCCGAGTTTTTTTTTAACATTAACATTCACACCGGTTCAGTTCGAACCGGTGCAATTAACTCTTTTTCGCACCGGTTTGGTTTGAGCCGGTGCGATTACTCTTTCCCTCAATCTTGTCTATTTTTTTTTTTTGCACCAGTTTTTAAAAACCAGTGCGCATTTTGCCAATGCTCATTTATGTTTTTCTACTAGTCATGAGGAGAAAGAGAAGCCTGAAATTGGAGCTGTTGTGAAGGAGGAGCATGTTGAGTTAGATTTGGCAAAGGAGGAGGTAGTGGTGGTAGATCTGACTCCAATGGGTGCTTTGGTTGTTGTTCCTGGGGTATTAGCCATAGATCTGGGTAAAAAAAACCTGAGTCCCTTGAACTTTCTGACCCAAAACCAGAGTGGTTGCTGACCCACCTCTTGCTTTATGAATTGTGGTTGCTTCTGCTCCTCCTGCTGATGGTCCTTTAGGGGGGGGGGGGAATTGCATGCTTGCTAGACCTCCTTTTGAAGTCAGTGACTTTAATGATGGCTTACTTGCTTACTTACAGGCGAACTATCCTGAGTTCTATCCCCATGGACCTGATTTCGTAGCGCAACTATTCTCAAACCCTGATTTTTTTTAATATCTGTTGTTTTTGCATACAATCACTTGGATTTTGATTATTGTTGTTGTTGTTGTTAGTTTTGCTTGGTTGATGATTAGTGTTATGAAATGGCTTTCAGCAACACAATGTTGTTGCTAGCTAGGGGAATGAGTGATGGAAAATGAATAATGAAGTTATTTGATGATTTGATTGAATAAGTACACTTGTGTTAGTCCATTCGAGTTCCTTTTATCTAATCTCTGGCCTGGAGTCTGATGAGTGACATTTATGTCACTCTTAGGGGTAGTGTTTAGGTCTCTTTCCTCCTATATTCTTAGGTTTTTCTACCTCATTTCTCCTCTTATATCTTCTTTATGTGTTGATGAAAAGTATGCTTATTTGCGCTTGTTTTGATAATCTTTATGCATTATTTTATCATCCCCTTGCTCTCGTGATTTTTGCTATCTTTTGTAGGTTCCATTGCGGTCCTAAGCACGGTGGGAGGCCCCTTAGACAAGCTTGGAGGCATGGACAAAGGTAAGAAGAGACAAAGGGAAGGAGAGGAAGCAAGAAGAGGAAGTGCAAGAGGAGGTGTGGCCAAACCTCTAAAAGGCTCGGTCGAACCAAGGTGTGGTCAAACTTTTCAAAAGTTTGACTGAACTTCCAAGGTGCAAAGGAGGCAATTTCAAACAAGTATTCAGTGATTTTGCAGGAGGGGTCGAACCTAAAAAGTTCGACCAAACAAGGAGCAGGGAGGTTTGGTCGAACCTACCCAGAGTTTGACCGTACCTACCCAGATGTCCGACCGAACCAACCCAGAGTTCGGTCAGACCTTTTCCCGATCTTAGCCGACTTTATATGGACTATTTAAGTTCCGTTTAGAAAGTTTTTTTTAAGAGAGATAAGATTAGCTTAATTTTCTGGTTTTATTAGCTTTAATTTAGAGAGAAAGCAGTAGAATAGTTTTCAGAAAACTTCCTCTTAGTTAGCACCTTAGTTCATTTAATTAGTTGATGATTTAGTTTGGAAACTCTCAAAATCTAATCATTGTAGAAGAAAACTTCAAGGTTCATTCTCATATTTTCAGCATTTATTCAACATTTGAAGCTTCAATAGTAAATTCTTTCACTTGTCACAACGTATTTTCTGATTTTATTATGTTATTGCAAGTCACTTGAATCTCTCTTAGTCTTGATAAATTGTTGTTGCATGTTAGTTTTATCCATAGTGAATCACTTTTCCCCAATTTTAGAAT